GGAAGACCCGAGAGTGTTGAATCCCAACGACGGAAGACCCGAGAGTGTTGAATCCCAACGACGGAAGACCCGAAAGTGTTGAATCCCGCCTAAGATTGGACACTCTCGGGCCCGGTCCGGCCACGGGACCCCCGACAAATTGTTGATTCCCACTTGGGATTGATGAGGTCAAGTTTCACGCAGCTAATGCGACATGTTGAGCGGCTTGAAAGTGCATGCCTCAACTGCGCATGCAGCCTGTGAACTCATGCCATGCAGCTAGAGCTTTTGTCACATCCTTCCGAGTCTCAAGTAGAAAATGCGTAGTGGCATAGAAGACTCGGGCTTAGGACCTTAGGAAGCTGAAAGTAGACTCACTCAAAGGAGGGCCAAGTGAAAGTTTCGTACTTGCAAGAGTTGAGTTCCCCGGTCAGGACCTGGAGATCGGACGTCTCGCGGCGGACACCAACCCCGAGGCCTACCCACACGAAGAGAAGGACACACTGCAATGCAGAAGCCGTGCAGACCTGGGACTTTGTTGGGTTCTGGGCCTACTGGAGTCGATTTTCCTCCAGTAGCGTCAGTTCTGTTTGGTAATTGATTCGATGCGGCAAGGACTTGAAGTCGCTCTTGAACGCCCACAAGAGCTGGACCAACAGCTGCTAAGCTGACACGCTAAACAAGCAGTCGATCTGCAGAGTCTGTGACGAGCTTGCTCTGTCGGTGTGGGTTTGAGGGCCGAGGTCTGCCGCGGCAGTCGCTGCGCAGTTGTTTTTCCATTTCACATCATGTCTAGTGCGTCATATTATGTGCGTTTCCCTCGTGGCTGATGGTCGGGGCTTCTTGCAGAGATACATGTCAGCTCGGCATGGTGTTTCAATAGGTGCCGAGTCACTGGTATCTGTTCGGGGCCAGCAGTCTTGGAATCGAGAAGTTTCATGGTACAGCCGTGTCGGAGGTAGTACCAACGGCAGGTCCAGTCTTGCTGATGTCGTTAGCTGGTGAAGACAAGTGGCACGGGGGCAATCTGATTTCAATCAGCATGCACGCCAATGATTTGTCGTGGTACCATCGTCACAGCATCGAAGCAGTGTTGGTAAGAACGACAGAGTAGGCTGCTTGTTCATCTTAGAAGGATGGTACCACGGCTATTAGGAGGAACGGCAGCGAGCAGATCTTCAGTGTCGGCAGCAAAGCTGAGGCAAACAAGCTGACGAAATTCTGAAGCGCTGGCCTGCGTGCATGTCCGAGTTTGTGCGTGTCTTCCCAAAGGACAGGTGCAAACTTAGTCGACGAGCGAGAGTCGACAGAATTCCTGAGACTTCGGGAGGACTTCAAAGCCGCAGTCCAGGCAGCCATTGATCGGGGCGAGCACACGCCGATAGGCCTGCATGGCAGAGAAACACAGAGCCTGTCATGCCCTTGACACTCCAGGCTCGATGCGCGAGTACCTCCCCTCGCAGGAGGCGCTCAATGACCATTCGAGCAAGCAGCGCATTCGCAAGCAGCCGAAGGCAGGCAAAGCTTTCTTCGGAACCGATTTCCTCAAACGTTTCTTGGGCCAGGTCAGGAGAAGTTCCTTCGAGGATGACTCGGTTCCCGTCAGTAGCTCGACAGAGGACGTCCGAGGTGTTCATAACCTTACGTGCATGCCCCACATTTATTGGAGGTCGACGGCCATGTGCTGTTCAGGCATGGACATTGAAGACGTGGCTCTCTTCCAGAAGACGACGAAGGGAAACCGTCCACAAAAGACACCCGTCCACAGCATCAACAGATGATGTGATTTCACTCAGGGCCAACGGGCCAACATTTGGTGACACACTCTTGAACTGATCAGATCTATAAGGATCGAGGATGCCAAGCTGGTGGCAACTTCCAACCGAGGCAGCTTAGTGTGGGGAGCGTTCCGAAGGAGGAGGTTTTTGTTCACTGCTTCTGACCCTTCTGGCACTCAGGCTTCCTGGAGGTGGATCGCGGCGACCTCCCGAAGCGAGGAGTTTGCGTTTGTGTTCTCAAGAACGTCCCTGTGCAAACGGCGTGTTTGCTGGGAGGAGTTGAGGAACGTGTTTCTGACTTTAAAGAAATCCTGGCAAAGAAAGACGAGGCGACAGCAAGTTGATGTCGGCATATGTCGTGAATGCTGTAGTCTACAAAGTTGACCTCTCTGGCAGGTGGCTGTTCAGACCCAGGCTTCCCGCTGCATGGACTGCGGCACGCCCTTCTGCCACCAGTCCGTAACGGACAAGTCCGGATGCCCGCTCGGGAATCTCATCCCGGCAGCTTGGCCCCCCCGTTCAGATGAAGCCACTCACAGTGATCACGAGGCTCATGAAGATCAGCCATAGCTATACAGAGGCTCATGATGATGATAGGGTGCCCAAGTGTGAGGAATGGAACGACCTGGTCCGAAAGGGTGCCTGGTTCGATGCGTTCAAGCGGCTGATGGCCACCAACAACTTCCCAGAATTCACTGGCCGGGTCTGCCCAGCACCTTGCGAAGGCACTGCTTCGGGTGCTTTGGTATAAAGTAGGCTTTCGTCCCCGCACACCATCGCCGACGACCTCGGAGGTGCCTGCACACTTGGCATCATTGATGATCCAGCAACGCACTCAGTGGTCATCTGATTTCGTGCGTTTTGTTGCTCCCTTCTGGCCTCTCGTCTTCAGTAACACGTTTTTCCAACGATGGAGAAGCAGGTGGCGATCAAATCCGTGGAGCTGTCCATCATTGACAAGGCTTATGAGATGGGCTGGATGGTGCCGAGTCCGCCCAAGGTACGAACAGACAAAAGGCCCAACAGCACGCAGCAGTTGGTCGATCTGTGAATGGCGGAGCACCGAGACTCTGCCCTGCATCAGGATTGTCATCGTGGGCTCTGGGCCTTGCCAGCGCCCGAGCAGACCTGCTCCCCAGTCTTCACTGTACCGAGCTGTGGCTGAGGCGGCCTGGCTGCAGCTGATCAGCTCAACAAGATGGGGCATCGTGTCACTGTCCTGGAGCGAGCAGATCGCATTGGAGGCCCTGTGGCGCATACTGCATCATGTTGCTTTGGATTGTCCAGGCAAGTTGCGTGCCAGGACTCATGATGTATGGCGTGCCCAACATGAAGACTGACAAGATGGATGTGGTCCAGCGAAGTGGCGAGCTGAATCGATGCAGCTTCATGACTGCGAAGCAAACCAAGTCTCGACCCAGGAGTGGATATTATGAAGCGAGAGGGCATAACTTTCGTCACTGGTCCTGCTGGGCGTGTCGCAGAGAGCATGGAGGCATCAGCCGCAGGAAGCAGCACGCTCATCTCCTCCCCTCCTGCATTGTGCTCGGTGCTGTAGCAGGCGCACATCGAGGGTACAAACATGGGGCCAAGAGCCTCGCAGCTGCTGGAGGACACGGATTCAGTGCTAATGTGGAGTTCATTTGCATAAACCCACCGTCAAATACACTTAAAATGGCCGAGTCCCGAAACTCATTTATCAACACCCCCTCAATTATAAACTTAGATACTAATCCCGTCCCTGGTTCCGAAAAGACAACTTGAGGCCCTTTTGTCAGCCCCCCAGAGTCGCAGAGAGAGTCAGCGAGCGGGCCCTCAGCAGTCAATCAACTCTGCCGGCGCCTCAAATCAGCCGAGGGGAGGGGGGGGAAGTGGGGGGGAAGGGGGGTTTATTCATATGAACTCAACATTACTTTTGTGACAGTATCGAGTGTCAACTCGAACCGGACAAGCTAGACCCATGCAGAATGTGCCGATGCGATGTGATGATTCCGGTTTGGTCGGATAGCTCCTTTCAGCGATTCGTTTTCCCGGGCTCGCCTACACACCTGTGAACTGCAGCTGTCTGGCACACCAGATCCTCACGAAGGCAAGTTGTGCGACTGTAAGAGGCGGTGAGTTGCCGGATCACGCACTGGAAGAAAGATTTGCGCAACGCAGATTTGCGCACTGCGGCAGCGGATTCGGGCACGGATGATTCGGGCACTGACCTAGAGGATTCGCAGACTAGGGGTCTTTTATTCAATCCCTGAGGCCGAAAGACAAAACAGAAGTCCATTAAGCTGTAAAGACTCTTTCAGTGGCAGAACTTCACTGACCAGCCGCATCATTCTAGATTTCTGGCCTGACCGTTCTCTCCTCACAACGCAACCACGATCCTCCGATGATAAGCCACGAGCTTCAAGGGCTTGCCAGCCCTTTCGGGACTGGTGCCGGAAGATGCCGGAAGCCAGATCTACGGAGAACCCAATCAACCCTGAATCCTAAAACCCGACAGCCCGCAAGCATCCGCAAGCCTTCACCTTAAAGCCGAGAATCCCTACTACGGTTGCTACGCATCCCCACCAAAAAACCTACAAACCCTCGGCTCTCGAGACCAGGCGCCCTAGAGCAACAACACTCTGGGCTCTCCCTGGCCCGACATGCTGAAGTCCCAAAACTTGCAACTCACACTTCGAGTGCTTGACTGTGTGCTTAAATCGCAAGTGCTTGAATCGGGCATGCTCGAATCGTGCAGACCTGCATCCGGCGTGGTGCTTGTATTGGTGGTGCTCGAAACGGTGATGCGCTTGAGTCGCCAGCGCTTGAATCTCGCACGTGCTCTTGAACTGCGAACGCTTGAATCACAGTGCTCGCATGGGGGCCAATGCTTGAATCGCGTTTCTATGTTAGCGGGGGAGATAGCCTGACCAGAGACATGCAGTGATTCAAACAGATGACTGTAACGATTGATTGATAGGCACCGGCCCGGGTTTCACCAACGGCCAAGAAGGGCACCAAGACAACGGACCAGCATCCGGGAGCTTTAGGCTTACTAGCCTAATTGGCCTACTGATTTTTAAGCGGGGCCGTGAACGTCGTGTAATGTAGCAGCACGACGAATGTTGATGCTGCAGCCGCTTTGCTGCTGACGTCGCCCGATTTCAGGATATTTACCTGCCGTCGTCGGCAAAACGTCGTACACGGGAGGCCGGGATCGCGACAGCCGTGGATGTCTTTTGGCCGTGGTGCATGGTGGCGGCGATGGCAGCATATGGCAGCACCACTTGGCTGTCGGCGACTTCGGCGACCGCGGCTCGACGCAGCCGTGTCCGGAGCTTCACCTGGAGGAGGACGACGCCGAGTGCATCGCATCGTCAGTTTGTCTCGAGGGCGCACACATCTCTCGCCATGGAGAGGGCGCCGTATCCACGACGCAGCCCTTACCGGATGGGTCTGGCAGTGAGGCCAAAAACCTCCACCAGCTGGAGGACTTGGAGGCGGCCGTGCCGAACGGCGTCCCTAGACGAGGCGGCGTACATTTTCATTCCGTCCTTGCCCCCCTGCCTGCTCTGCAACTGCCATCAACTGCAAAAACCGGAGCGGCTGGCCAATGAAATTTGATCATCGATGCGTAGGGGGTAACGCGCCTGCGCCTGCCCGAACTCGGCGTACAAATGCCCCGCTGGGGGCGTGTGGTGGTGGTGGTGGTTGTTACTAAAACCATGCACCGCAGACACGAGCGTCACGAGTGTCGCCGGTGCGGTTGAGGCAGCGGCGACCGCCCTACATCGGCGAGGTCGCCTTTTACACCATCTCCTCATCTTTGGCGCTCTTGTCGTCGATCTTGTCGAATTTTTTGCACCGTCTTTCTGGCCTTTCCCAGCGACTGGGATGCCTTTGCAGGCCTCTCCCGTCGTCGAATCCAGGTCTTTGCATGAGTCACAAGCCCACACCGGCGGCTTTTTAACTGCCCTTTGGCACTGTTTTGGCTCTCCGGCGCCAAAAATGAGAGGCCCTACTTCGGCGCGAGTGGTTGCACACGATTCCCTGCTGGACATTGTCATGTTTAATCGTTTCCTGTGTCGCAATCGTCTTTGGGGTTATGGTTCGGGGTTCCGGCCTGGTTTTGCTGCAGTTGACGTGGCCCTTCGTCGAACCCATTGCCCCGCGAAGGGCAGACTTTTCGGAGCGGCGCGAATCATGCCAGGCGTGGAAACATTCTGCGCAAGAGGTTGGCATAGCACGCCAACCGTCCAGCAGCTGATGCAGCTGCGTTAGCTGGATTTACTCATCAGCTGCAGTGAACAACTGTAGCAAAGAGAACAAAGAAGGGAGGGCGGGCGGGCTTTTGCAGGTGAAACCTGCAACACCCCGCAGGGGGCCCACACCCTCAACGAAGCACCAGGCCTGTGCTGCAACACTGCAAGACGCGGGGCCGTGGTTTGAGAAGTGTTCGGGGCATGCACAGGGTACACAGGCCTACCTGGCCTGCAGACGCTTCATCGCTTGCACACTGCTCTTCGCCTCATCCCTCCGTTGCCGAACCGCACAGATTGAAAAAGTTGTCTCCTGAGAGCGGAATGCAAGCTTGGTGGATGCCACCAGTGAACTTTCGGGTCCAAGTGGTCGTGTGTGGTGTGCACATTTGAAATCAGCCTTCTGCATTAGAGGAGTATGATGCCGTATTGCTGGCTGTCGGCGCCACTGTCGCCCGAGACATGCAATCAGTAGCTTGGATGCCTTGGATGCCGGGGAGCCTCTTCCTGCGAGAGTTTTCTGACCGATGCATTCAACACCGGACGGCAAACTGTGGACAGGTGCCCGGGCGTGACCTTAGTGGCATTCATTTGGCAATGGATTACCTGACCCACAACACCAAGGCCATCTGCAGAGGATCAGGTACTGTAACTGTCTCCGGGATGCATGCTCTGCAGGCCTTGTTGGATGGCGGTGATGTCAGCAACAAGTGGCGACGGTGGTGGGGAGCAAAGAAGAACGGCAACCGGCATTGCAAGTGGTTGGATGGCAATGCTTCATATTTATATCGTTCAGCGGAAGCCTGCCCCTGACGTTTGTAGAAGTACTTGTAGAGATTGTCTCCTATCGGAAGCAAATCCAGGCATGGATCCGAAGACCTTGGACGCCAAGGACAAGAAAGTGATTGTCATCGGAGGCCAGATTTCACAGCTTTGAGCAAAACCCGAGGTTTGTCGACATCTTTTTGCACACCGAGCTATGCCACAGATTGATTGCATAGGTGCTTGCGCACACTGAGGTGGTGACACAGGCAATGATTGTATCGGCACAGCTGTGCGCCAGGGTGCCAAGGCAGCGCGGGGCTTAATCGTGGCTTTTCTTCAAGTGCGTTGCTTTCTGTGTCTGCAGACCGTGACAGACGTGCCAAGGTCGTGAACCTGGAGCTGATGGGAAAGCCACCGAAGCAGCGTGCTCCGCACAATCCCTGGCCGCATTGGCCGATGGTGTTCAAGGCATCTTGGACCTAGACAAGCCAACGAATCTGAAGCCTCGCAGTTCGAGCTTGCCGGTCTGCAGGTGGATTACGGTCACGAGGAGGCCACTCGCGACTGGCGGCACCCGCACACCTTTCACTTGTCATTCTCTGACCTCGACGGGCAGTGGGGTTTTACCGTTTTGGGCGCAGAGAACTTGAGTGTTTCCCATGTGTTCGCCGAATTTGGATAGCCGAGTGACACGAGCACGAAACAAAATTCGGATTGGCTTCTCGAGGCTGCGAATCAGTGCAACAATGACCAGGACATCCGCCACCGGGCTGCCTTGTGAGACCCGTGAACATCTTTGGGGTGTCTCTGACGGCAGGGCATTCCTTCCATGGTCTACAGTGATGCAAACTAAGGACATTACGGTGCTCTGACCAAGGACTGCTACATGTAGCTATTTTAGTAGCAACAAGCTTCTGAGTTCATGAGTCTCGTATCCGTACCAGCACCCAGGAGTTCCTAGACGATGGTCACGGCAATGTGAAGGGCATCAAGATGGTAAACGTTCGATGGGAGAAAATCGACGGCCAAATGCGTGGCTTTGCCAAAGCAAAACAAATCATGTTTTAGGTAAAGATGATATCCAGCAAATGATTGTGTTGTGTACACCGAGGGATGATGGAGCAACCTGGATCTGAGAAGATCATCGAAGCAGATTTGATTCTCCTCGCGCTGGGCTTCCTAGGCCTGGCAGCTGTCCTCTGGGATTCTCCCAGCGGCTCCCTGTAGCTACATTTTATGCTCTGCTCTCCGTGCTGCTGCATGTCGTGTCCAGGGCCTGAGAATCCCTTAGCTGCTGCCTTTGGCGTTGACATGGATGAGCGTGGCAACTACAAGGTTCGCGCCAGCAGCATTGAGAAATCTTGCATGTTGTCGCGGCTGTCGCAGCCTGACATTGCTTTGGTATGCAAGTCGCAGGCCTTGTATCAGAAGAGTGAAGGCGACTTTCAGACATCAAATCCGAAAGCTCGGCGCTCGTTGTGGACGGTAGTGCCGCTGGATTTTCGGCTGAAGCTCTTCGAGGTCTTCGCAGCAGGCGATTGCCGACGTGGGCAATCCCTTGTGGTCTGGGCGATCAAGGCGAGCGAAGAGCGTCTTTCACTTCGCCGTGATCGCTTCTTGTTTCTCAGGAAGGACGTGATGCTGCTACGGCCGTCAACAGCGGATTACTTACGACAGTCTAGTCGCGTGGCTTTGTGTCGTAGTGGGGGTCATGCGGTCATGCCCAGGCTATCTTACGAACGAGTATCCAGCGTGAGCTGGACTTTGCACCGGATGAGACAGCTAGATGGAGTTTAGCTTACGGTCTCGTCTTGTAATTTCAATTCTTCTCTTGCAAACGGGCGATGCCTGTCGACAGTTTTTGTTCACAAGTTTGCAGGCATGGCAGTCCATCGGCCAGACAAGACTACAAGACAAATCGCGCTAAAAGTGTATAGCGGAGTCATCAGAGATTTTATCTTGCAGAGCCGTGTGATAGTGATGTAGCTGTGTGCACACGGGAGTGTCCAGTGACAGTGAGAAGTACATCTGGCTACATGGATGAGGCATGACGCTAAGGGTAACTTTACAAACCCCTTAGCCATCTGTACCAGTGTCATCGCCCTGTGCAGCCTGTGCTGCGGGGCAGGCAGTACATTTGCACGTAGAAGAGATCGGACCTTGTTCGGCATCTCTGACGATTGCATTCATCTTGAGCAGCTACAGCTTGTGCTGCAGCGCGAGAAAGAGGCGTGACCTGGAGTAGTGATGAGCTCTGCACGTCACATTGTTTGTTCAGGCACTGCAGGTGAATGTTCGGTCAGCGGCCAACATACATGTCCAAAGCTTTTTATCGCACACCCCTGCGAATGGCACACTTTTAGCTGGTGGGCAGGAGGGTTGATTTGCTCATCAACCAAGAGCTGGAACTTGGGGGTTCAACCGTGATTCCACCGTAGAGCCATGATCATTCGTGCGGGAAGATGTTGCTGTCCACAGAGGCACAGCCGGACTTTATTGCGCAGGTTTTCCCACGGTCTGTCTTGTTTGACTATGCCAGGCTGGACAGTCCCACCACGGGGAACATGAGCTTCCGCCTTTTCAGCTCGGACAAGTCTGAGGCTGTCGTGGCGGGCGAGCGACACACGGATCTAGAAGCGAATCAGAGATTTCAGCTGCACTCCGAAATTCTGCGGTCTCTCTCGCCCTTTCCTTTTCAGATCTCTGCGTTCCCAGGAGCTGTCTTCTGATGGCTGTGAAAGCCGAGGTTCATGCGAGCTCTTTAGGTCCCAGAAGCGTCAAACAGGGTCATGCAGCCATGCAGCAAGGTTCAACACATTTTAGCACCAAAGGTTCAGAATCGATGGCTTGGATCTGGTGTAGTTTGGTACGGGTAGGGTAAAGTAGGGTGAATTAAAAAGATTGCCGGGTGGAAGCACCTTGTGCAAAGGCGGGTAGACCGTACATGGGACACGCAGATGCACAAGAGAAAACTTCATCTTCCTTTCCCGTGAATGTCTGAAGAGGTCAGCGCTTGGCTTTCCTCGTATTCTTCTTGAACCTAAAAAAATCCCCGTCTGCCAAGAGACTTCAAGATGATGTAGCAGGCTCATCCGGTCCTGTTCCATGATTCTTCCGGTACTGGCCTCAGAAACGTAGTCCACCTGTCATGCAAGTACCACCCTGTGACAGTGACTACCACTCTCAGGCGCCGAGGGTTTCTGGGAGAGACGATTCCGTAGGGCTGCGACCTTGACAGCAGAACGTGTGCATCGCTCCAGTGCGAGACAATTTGTAGACTCGACAACGAGGCCAGACGGAAGCGAGTGCAGATGCTCCAGCAGAGACTCATCTCCAAGCATGAGCAATTTGAGCGCACGGCTGCCTTCAGCACTCGTGGAAAGACCGAGATGTAAAGCGAAGAGCCGATGTGTGCTGCATTGATGCAAGGATCAATGCTGCGCACGATCAGATGAGAGTAGGGAACCTACCCTCTGCAATGCTCTGCAGGCTTGAAGGTTTCGTTTTCGAGGGACGCACCCAGTTCGGGATGCGCTGACCGAGGTTTTCTATGCGCTTGGGCGACGGCGTCTGCAAGACAAGGGCAGGTGGTAGGGCTCAGGGCTACAAGCCGTGGCTGTGTGCAGTTTAGACGTTTCCAGACTTTCCTGTGCTCTCCTTGACAGCAGAAATCTTGCAGCTCAAATGCTCTCAGGTTGAACGAGGAACATGCTGCCAAGTTCGCCCGCATTGACGAGCGCCTTTTCGGTTTGCTTGGGTCTTGGCACAGCGTCGTTTGCCGTGGTTGGAAAACTATGTTCTTGCTGAAGAGATTTCGGGTGGTTGTGGCTTGCATTTGCAGCAGTGACTGTGCGTGCAGGCCTGTGGCTAAGGCTAGTTATGCAGCTGAGGCAGCGAGATCCTTTGCAGCTTGAGTGTCTGCCTGAGTCAGATTCGCAGGATGGCAGTGGACATTGAACGAATGTGTCCCCATGTACAAGCATCCCAGAGCTGATGCTTGGGATGCTAGGTTTGTCACACGCACACGCGCGCACGCGCGCGCGCGCGCGCGCACGCA